TGCACTGAGAAGCTAATTCAGTCATATGATTCAGGTGTTTTGGACCAGTTTGGACCTCAAGGCCTGGAGTTTGACACCCCTGGTCTAAAGAGTCCCTTTCCTGACCCTGTCTGTCTTTCTGTCCAGCTGGACGTGTTTGAGGCGGCTGATCGCTATCAGAGAGACGGCGTCCCCCTCATCATCCTCGCCGGTAAAGACTACGGCTCTGGAAACTCCCGGGACTGGGTGGCAAAAGGACCGTACCTGCTGGTAAACAAACGTCTCCCTCTGATCACACGACGAGATTCAAGTTTTATCAGCGCGGAGCTTTCGCTCTCAGAAAACGAGCAAGTTTGTGATTTCTGACTCGACGTTCTCCGTTCTTTGGTTTTTAGTTTGCTTGTTTTGTTGAAATCTACTTTTGTGTTTTTGTTGGTCATACGTCAATACGGCTTATTAAGGAGATGGATGTCATTTACTGGAGTTTTTTTTTTTTTGTGTAACATAATTTTCAAAATAAGTAATTTAATTGAAAATAATGTTTTCACAAAAATCTATTCAGTTCCCTCAAAAACATCGTTCTCACTGAAATCTCCATTAACACACGGCTCTTCTTTTAGTTTTAGCTACTGTTCAGCTGCTTTTAGCCTTTTGGTAGCATTCTGCTTCTTTTAGCTTTATCTTTTAATATTATAGCGGAGCGCTGTGCTTGTACTGCGCGAGGTTTAGTGAGCTGCTCATCTCCGCTCCCCGTCCGGAAACGACAACGGTCAAACTTCCTTTTTAGTGAGTGGCTGCATCTCAGAGCAAGAGGTTCTTTATGACACTGGGGTGACGCATCACAATCCAAGATGGCCACCACCATATTTATACTGTATATTTGTGTAAACTGGCTACTTCTATCATTTGAGGAAAGTGTTTTCTAGTTTTTATAAAAGTAAAGTTTCCTCATGCCCTGGCTTCGACATTGCGCCTGGCGGTGGATAAAATGTCTCCCTCCATTCGTCAGGATCCGTCTGCGCCGCTTCGGCCAAGAAAGAAACATGAAGCTGCTGTTCTACACAGGCTCAAGTCCACCTGAAGAAGCTACATCGGCTCATCGTCGTAGCTGCGTGATGAAAATCACGTCATTTTATTGTCAGAGCAGCGACACGAGGCCCGAGCCGAACCTGTTCTTACCGGCGTACGCACCAAGTATCGTGTGATTGGTCAGAAGTTTGTGGGCGTGTTCATCATTCAGCTGTACGACTCCTCAAACACTCCTGGATGACGTCGTGCACGGAGGAGTCTCTGCTGAAAAGTGTGGCGCGCTCTTCGTGGTAGATTTGAGGCCAAACGGGGGCTGCAGGGCGACTGGTGGGAGGAAACTGGTGTGGGGACGTACACTGCGGCGGGAGGGGTTTCCCATTAACTCTGCTTCTCGTGGACGCTCGTGATGTGTGCGAAAATAAATGTCCCGCATCCAGGAGGGCGCGAGTAAAAACATTAGTTTATTTTCATTCCCTGTTTGAGTCCAGTCCAGAAAAACACTCATCCCAACAAGTACAAACATTCACTGTTCGACCCCGAGCGACGGGGACACCGGCGCCTTGAACGTTGACGGAGTTGGTTGTTTTTCAGGGGGTGCGCGCCGTCATCGCCGAGAGCTTCGAGAAACTCCACAAGAACCAGCTGGTTGGGATGGGCATCGTGCCGCTCCAGTTTCTCCCGGGCCAGAACGCCAGCTCCCTGGAGCTCAGCGGGAAGGAGAGGTTCAGCGTCGCGTTTCCGGAGCAGCTGAGTCCGAGGCAGCAGCTCACCGTGAAGGTACCGAAACCTCCGAGCCCAGCGTTTTTAATCCAGTGCAGCGTTAATAAACGTTTGTGTCCTGCAGACCAGCAGAGGAGCGTCGTTCGGCGTCGTGGCGCTCTTCGACACCGACGTGGACCTTATCTGTTTCCAACACGGAGGCCTTCTGAGGCGCGTGGCTCGGACCGAGATCCAAACCAGCCCGCGGTCGGGATCGGACCGCACCCGGAGCTCGCCGTGTCCATGAAGCAGCCGCCGTCTTTTTACGTCCGCACAGACACACTACAGGAAGCTCCTCTCGTTTGTCCCTCCCAGTCTGTTCGTCAGACGTTTGAAACACACGCGAGCGGCCGCCGATCACCCGCTCCTCCTCACAAGTGCGCCGACTCAAACCCCAG